GGTGCTTAGCCCTCTTATGCCCTCATGCACCGTATTTACATTAAGAGCTTTGTGGATATTCGTATTTTTTATGTACCATGGTGCTCCGCATATGGCGCGTAAATTTTCGACTGCAGTATTTGAAGTCTATTCAAAATTAAATTGCACGCTGTGCCCCAAATCCCGATTCCGATTACGATGTTGTTACGTCTTTTTTGCATTTCAGGTGACGAAATGTATGTCTCTTTACACACACATACATATCGTCACTAGATACGAATAAAGATGCGAGCTCGAAAGTTGACCTCGAAAAAAGACGCGTAAAAACTTCGGCGAAGAAAGACTCTTAACATAGTTGACGGAGAAGAAAGACGTGTTGACCTCTTTGACGGCGAAGAAAACCGCATAAACTATGTTTCGCTGTTAACTATGTTTGCGAGTGTAACAGTATACGAATTTACTAAAGAGTTTTCGGGAACGATGTTGAAGTAATAGTCCTCGGCTAGGTATGAATCTAGGTTTACGCATTTTTCTTTGCCGAAGCTTTTCAAGTGTCTTTTTCATAATTTTTTCACGCGTCCTTTTTCGCCGTCAAAACAGCCGCGCATCTTTACTCGCGCTGCGACCTAAGAAGATCTATTGTGCTAAATCGTAACTGTAATCACTCCACCTTAGGCTATTTTAAAAGCTAGACACTTTGGACGGTGCCATGTTCCAAATTTTAGATGGAGGAGACAATCGTTCTCCAAGGTGTATCAGTATACGATTCATGCTTCGTGGGCAGGTACTCTGGGGTTTCCTTCACCAGTCCACAAAACTTACAGGCGATCTCTTCAGAAATACCCATTTTATTCAAATGGTACCATAACTTGCAGTGTGCTTTCAGTTAGCAATTAAGAGTTCTAAGTTCAAGGAGTCTTTCGGAGTTTCTCCTGGAAGGAGTTATGTATGTCTTTGATTGTCTTATTCCCTTTGACTTCCGCCAGTGGGCAGCAATCTGAGATTCTTTCCAGCTCCTAAGTAGCAATGAATCTTTTAGATGTACCGCAGAATGACTCGGGACCATGCAAGCGCATTTGGGCTCCACACTTTGCGAGACTAGGGATGAAACGATACCATGCAGGTATCAATACTTTTACTTGGAAGTATTATCGAAAAAAAGTATCGATGCCTGAAAAATATCGGACCTAAAGTATCGACACCTACTCGTACCGGTACTCATTGTGTATTAGGTTAAATTTATATTTTTTAATCACAAGTTAATGATCCTCTGGGAATCCTTAGCTCCGAATAATAAAATTTAATAATGTAAAAAAATAAATAAATAAATAATGATGAATGGTATTTACAGATACATATACATTGGAAAAGATTACAAGTTAACCTTATTTAAGAAAACATTTATTAATAAAATATTTCACCGGAAAAATTCTTCTTTTGTTGTACTTCCCAAGAATAGAAGTTTTTCCAAATGTTTGCCAGTCAAACGATTTCTTGACGTGGTTATTGTTGCTACTGCTTTCGAAAAGAATCGTTCGCAAGGAACAGATGTTGCAACTATGTATATGTGAATATAATCGTGCTTGTTTATACAACAAAGGAATGCAGTTTTCAGCTCCTCCCATTCTTCTAATGGGTTCGACTTCAGGGAGGATACTGGGCTGGATAAAAAAATAAACGTATTTTTTTTTTAACAGAAAAAAATTTGCAGGTCGCGCTAGTCGGTTTTTTATAAAAGCGCCGATGTTTTCAGTTTTTTTCTTTTCGTGACATGTTATAGCTAAAAATGTGGTTTTTACATGTAATTACTCAGATATTATTGGGGAATATTCCCTTTCGAAAAGAGACTGCTCTATTAAAACGTTGATACTGAACGTATTAAGCATTGCCATGGGTTCAAACTCGTTACCAGGGGATTTCTGGCTTCGCTCAAAATGGCGTTACCAAAATTGCAATGAATTTGAAAAAAATGGTTGGATTGGTTCGAAACTCGGAACTCGGGAATTTTTGGGGTCGTTGATTACGAATCTGAAGTCAATTTAAAATGCAAAATGGCGGATACTGAAAGTTTTAAGCACTGTCATGGGTTGAAACTTGTTACCAGTGGGTTTCTGTGTACGAGTCTGACGTCAGCAGATTTTCAAAATTCAAAATGGCGGATCGCAATTCAATCATTTTTTTGTCATTTAAAAAATCTGACATCAGATTTGTAATCACCGACCCCAGAAACCCCCTGGTAACGTGTTTTAACCCATGACAATGCTTCAAACTTTCATTTTCAACGTTTTAATTTTAGTAATTTTTAAGAAATTGATCGCCATGTTAGATCTGCCGTTTTGAATTTAAAAAAATTTACTTAAATTTGTAATCAGCGACCCCAAAAACTACCGAGTACCGAGTTTCGAACAAATCCACTAATTTTTTAAAAAATTGATCGCTATATTACTACCGCTATTTTGAGTTTTGAATAACTAACATCAGATGCGTAATCAGCTAATATTGACAATAACAAGGGTATACGTTTGTACTTAGAACTGAGGTACATGTTTGCGGTCGCCGTTATACGAACGCAACGGTAAAAAATTCGAGTAAACAAGGTTTCCAAAATATTTGGATATACATATTTTCTATTTTTTTGCAAATAGCTATTACCAACTCATTGTTATGGAACCTACCAAAAACCAATCTAGCCTACCAACCTATCAAATGGAAAAAAACCTAGCAGTTTTGGTGGGAAAGGCCCATGTTGCCACACATGGATATGGATTTCAGCTCTCACGCCAACATATAAATCTTATCTATATACATAAATTTATGAAATTTTTTGCCGTGTAATAAAAATTTCTTAAGTTATAATTTGATCGCAGCTCAAAGTATGCGCGGCCTAGTCAACTGCATCCTCCGGACAATGCTTCCGAAGCCTTTTGCGGATTCTGCCAGACTTACAATCATGCAGAGGTGGTAAATGAACTTTACCACAGTGTCCACCCACCATTTTTACTTGAATACTTTTTTTATAAATACATGCATGTGTAAAATACATAAATTCATAATGTGGAAATAATAATAGCAATGCTTATGCAAAAAAATGGACTCAATAGATAGCGCTGCGATGCGATGGGTTCCTAAATATCCCCTTACGTCTGGTCTGATTTGGCCAAATTGAGGATGGGTTTAAGTAGGTATGCACACAAAAAGCGAAAAATTGTGTAAGTGCACCTCTGTCTCACGCTCTGATACACCCTAAATCACATCACGGGTGTATCAAGAAGAAGTGTTTTCCATTTAGGAGACAACACAAAATCTTGATCAAAGACCTAGAGAGAACAAACCAGTATTTTTCTTCTGCGGCAGTCAGGCAGCCCTTAAAGCTTTACACTCACACGTAGACAACGAAAATTCCATTACTGAATACCATAGATCTATGATCGAGATAGCCCAGGTTTATGGAATCAAATTAATATATGTCCTCACACTCCTGGATATAAGACAATTTGTAAAGGTGGCGAATTAGCAAGGAAAGATTCGACCACATTCTTCAACCTGTGAAACAGCGAGGATTCTTGGCCCTCCTATAACAGAAAACACACATATGTGCTCTCCAGTTTCCTTATAAGGACTTTTATTGGCTTACATGGCAAAAGACTGGAGGTTGACGCATCTGACCAATGTTGTCGTTGCAAGTTCAAAGGAGAAGAATACTCTCGATTAGAAAAGATCTCACAGGTAGAAAAGGGAGCATGGTTAAAGCTCATGATATCGAAAGGAATTAGTATTCCATATTATATCTAGCTCTACTATTCTTGGCCTATGTGTGGGGAAGGTTCTGCTCTTTAGTTGCTTCAACCTGGATTGAAAATCCTTCTTTACCCATTTTGAACGGTAGTTTTGCATTGGCCAACGCAAAAGATCTTACCAGGCTCCGCGAAGCAGGATGGCATGGGCTAGTAGTTGAATAAAGTGCTGAAATCCTGAAAAGTGGTGTACGCCTGAAAAGCGTTTTGTGGAGTTCTACTCTAAGGACTTGAGATGATGTTGATCCTCATCGAGGGATACGTCTTGCTTGGCTAAAATATCTCTTTAGGCCGCCTCCAATCTGCCCGTGACCAGAAGTATTTAGCCACCTTGCTGGCCGGACGCTCATCTTACCAACAGCAGGCCATACATATGTGACCAACGGAGCCCCCACACCCTCTTTACTCGGCGACAACTCCTCAAAAGTGCCCTGAGTCTGTAGTTTCACGCGATATCGTTTAAAGTAATTTTTTATAAAATTTTCTCTTGACATTTCAACCATGAATGGGATTATGGGGGCGGGCCAAGGTGGTTGGTATTCAGCTTCGGTTGCTTACTTTCGACGATTGCATTAAAAAATATTCCTTTAAATGTATGTAAAATAGCATGTTTGTAGTCATAAATTATTTTCACTTTAAAATAAATAAAAATCTTGCTAGAGCGCCTACTAACACACACACACTCATTTCACATTTAGTTAGACACACACACACTTATTTCACATTTACATATCGTACTTTAAAGTACAAAACCGTGTATCGTCATTCTGCAAAACCGCGTAACTGACATTTGCTGCCAAAAATTGGATTTGCTCACTCAAACTCTTGGCTCAACCTTATCCATTCGTCCTGAAATATACCAGCCAGAAATGCGATTAAAAAAAAGAGAACCATTTTGAAATATGAGTGTTTTTACTCCCTAGAAAATAATTTATGCAACCTCACATATGCGGTTTTGTATTTTGTTGATACGCGGTTTTGTACTTTAAACGACGATATGTATGTATGTATATATGTATTGTACTAAAGTAGTAGTAATTGTATCTATTAAAATAGAAAAAATAAAACTTTATTTTGAAATACTTTTAGTTCTTACTCTATTGAATACTTGATTGTCATTAAATATGTCTGTCCGTGCATTTTATGATACATATGACATACAATTTTGCCTCTATGTACATTTTACTTAATTTCTTTTTTACTTTCAACTACTTGATTTATGTCTAGGTAATAATATGAAAAAGTGCCGTGCCCGCTTTGGCTTAGATCAGCAGAACCAATGGTGCAAACCCTGCAGGTATGTATTCGGGATACCTATCATTTTTATACAAAGATATGAGAATAATACATATATATACGTTAATTTCATTCTTTATATACATAATTGAGTGCTTGAAACTAGATATTGGACATATATTTCTGGTCAGTTTAAAACTGGACACAAAATTTTGATCATATGTATATGTCTATGCTGAACATGATTCGTTCAGTCCACAGCTGGGCCTTGGTTTTAGACCATTTAAACACTGTACTCAACTTTTTAAGAGTTTAATAAATCGATATTATTTTTTATCATGAATATTTCTATATGGAACGCAAACGGATTTTCAAAGCATTTTCTTTAATATAGATATACTTCTTTTATCTGAGACCCACTTCAATGATAAGAGGCACTTTTAAGTCCCAGACTATTAATTCTATCACAAATTACATCCAGACAATAAAGCGCATACCGGTTCTGGGATTTTAATACGAAGGGCAAAATGCACCAGAAAACAAAAAGTTGTGCCCCAAAAAAGCTCTCTAGGCTACAAATATTATTGTCGAATGTTTAAAAAGGCCTTTAACCATCTCCGCAATACCTACATGTACACACACAGTCAAGACTAAAGATTAAGAAAAATTTTATAAAACTCTTGGAAACAGAGTTTTAGCTGGAGGCGACTTTAATGCTAAACATATTTACATACTAATACATAATTCCCAAAGGAAGCCAGCTATACTTTGCTTTAAGCAAATTTGAGTTACTCTCGCTTTCCTCCGGAGCGCCCACTTACTGCAGAAATAAAATCCCGGATCTAATTGATTTTTCAATATATAAAGGCATATCACCTAGTACGATGTCATGCAAGTCAAGTTAATAATAGAACGTAGCTAAAAATAGAAACAACCAAAACAACGACATGATCAAATCTAGAAAGCAGGAAATTAGTTGCCCTTGATTGCCGTTGGGTTGCCAAAATAAAAAAAAGTGGAAAAGCAACAGTTTACATGGTGGACTTGGCTCAGGGGGTAAAACCACCAGCTTAGAATCACGAAGTTGCTGGTTCAAGTCCCAGTTAACTCGATGAAGAAGTCTGATGAGGAGATGTCATGGTCTCCGAAATAGCAGCAATGATTTCTACCAAATGTAAATATCGTTGCTTTTCCCCAAAAATTTTCATTAAAAACGGCCTCAAGCTCAATAAAATGTTTCAATGTATTTCATGGATACTAAAAATTTCAAAACTCGAAATCTCTGCGAAAAAAATACACACTTGAGCAAACCTAACGGCATTTAAAAGAGTGCATCTTGTACTTTCATATCCTCTGTATTGATTTTTTTTTTTAAATAGCGATACCTCAAAAATCTGACGTGATAGAGCAATTCTACTATTTTATTCTGATTCCGATTCAGCACTCCAAAATCCTTCGGAAATATATGTTAGATTAGATTTAGAGGAGAGAGCAGGGCGACCGAAGCGATCTATTGTTAGAAACCTCTATTCGAGTAAAGGTCTTCTTTGATCCGCGTATTGCTAAGAAACCTCGCGACGTCCTTTGGCTGAATGCCATGTAGATCGTGTGCTTCTAGGTATGGCTGGTGAGCGTTGGAAGCGAAGTCTGGTGAAGGTCTCACAGTGGCACATAGTGTGCTCTGCTCCTTCGTGTTCTTTTCTGCAACAACTTACACTGATCAGAGTTAACAACTCCTATGTTTGACAAGTGCTTCCTTGCCCTACAGTGGCCAGTATGAAAATCTGTAACAATTCTTACTTCATGCCTACTCCAGAATGAAGAACTAAGCCTACGTATTTGTCCAGTAATGTTCCACTCCGTTTTTCATGCATATATAGTATCTTCGCCTAACGGAGCTCCATGACAGGTCAGTAAAGGGTACTGGGCTCGTGAATCCCTCGGCAGCCCCACAGGAATTATGTATTAGTATGTAAATATGTTTAGCATTAAAGTCGCCTCCAGCTAAAAATCTGTTTCCAAGAGTTTTATGGGTACCGGGACACATATATTCCCGCCAGAAAAGGAGCAGGGTATACCCGGTCCCTGCAGGCGATATAAGTATTAAAAGGTGAAGGCAGTCTCACAGCAGCTTTGAGGTGTTTGTTGGTTGCCTCACTTTCCAGATACTGCCTCAGGCATAGTTCAATGGCTAGGACCTCGGCCTAAAGAAATATGTAGTTACCTTGCCCAATGCTGGTGAAAAGGAGCCGTCTGGGTTGTATGCCGTAAACTCCTGCACCGACGCCGTGGTCAGTCTTAGAGCCATCAGTATACCAGAGGTCGTTCTTTGTCCTAGTTGTTCCTGTCGGGGAAAAATACCTTGAAGTATTGTGTAAAGTTAAACCTCGGAAGACGCAGGTCCACAAATCTAAGGTGCAGCCCATCTTCTTGTCCTCCACATTGTCCCCTGAGATCAGCCTTGCTGTAAACTGTAGAGCCTATTCCTTGTTGCCCACTTAGGCCAACCGTTGTAGCTTACTGAGCCTGGAGCTACGTGGAATTCACTTCCGCGTTCTTATACCATACGGATGCGGAAAAAGTTAAAATGGATTTGGAGATGGCATCATACATCCACCTTGCCAGTACATAGGGTTTCTGTTGACCGTTGTTGGCGTGTGTTATTAAATAATTTGAGTTTACATAAAGGCTTATTGTACGACATTACTAGCTCATACGTAAGATTAAAGTTGTTTTTAGTTATTTAGGGGAATATTCGAAAAATCCGTAGATAAATTCAATTGGTTTTGATGTTTTTTGTAGAATGAAACTATAAGAACTTTATTCAAATATAGTTTTATAGTACTACCTCAGAATATCCATAGATGAGCTCAATTGGTTTAGATTTCCTAATTAAGCTATGCGAATTTAAATTTAGTTTAATTTTTTTGTAAAAAAAAATCCGCCAATGACTTCTAGTTTTTAAATCCGGAGTAGCTATTTCCTTGTAGTCATATCAGTCGCGCTGGTTTAAACCAGTGCTGCCGCTGTCACTTGAATTGAAGTTTTTCACGTCACTTTGGGCGCTTGCACTTTGTCACTTCATTTACTTCACTTTCCACAAATTAGATTTATCTCCAAAATCTGGTGATGACCTTGTTGTTGTGGATCAATTATCGATTTATATTTTAGTGTTAATATCACCAGTGAACTGTAATTTTTCATTGTCTTTCCTCAACGTTTGAAATATTTCAACACTAAACTTGCATAGAAACACAATAAATTATAAATTAATAAAGGTTAAAGATTACTATAACTGTGATAATAAAAAAGTCGATTAACCAATTAGCTGATAAATAACTTTATCGAAAAACCTCACACCCCCAATTGTGCTTGAAAGTCGTCACTTCGGTAATCACTTTACTTTTCCTTTCAAGTCACTCCGAAACACTTTACTTTTAGTGTGTTTTCACTTCGCTCGAAAATTAGCAGCACTGGTTGAAACCTTCCCGTGCGCCCTCTATCTTCCTAACGCATGCGAAAGCTTATACTTTTGTACCGATCAACCCGTTGCGAATGGAGGACGCATCGCTGCTCTTTTGAATCGTGACCCCTTGCGAGTAATTAACTTGTTTTTTAATGTATGAAATCTCATTGTATAGTGCGACACCTGTCATGACGTCAATCTCATCTATACATATAATAAAATTGTAACAGGTCGATGTCTGTACATTATAGATATTAAAGAAAAATTAATGTGGGGGGTCTTTATTAGAACACCAGAAGCCAAATCAACCATTTTTAGAATTTTTGTCTGTCTGTCTGTATGTTTGTTCGCGCATCACTCGAAAACGAATACATGGTTTTGAATGCAGTTTTCACCGATGTATTGCTAGAGGTCTAGCTTAAAATATGAAAAGAAGAAAATTAGAGAGTTGCCACCTGTTTGAAAATTGTAGTTGAAGTAAATTGATATGAAAAAATTAATTTTGCAATATTTGGCGTCAACAGAAGGAGGCTGAAGAAGGATTACAGCCAAAAATAATTTTTTAGAGTTGCCACCTGTTTGAAAATTTATATTTAATTTAATTTATAAGATCAATTTAATATTGCAATATGGGGTTTAGAAAATTTTATTGCCGAAAATATTTTTAGGGAGGGCTGCCACATGAATGAAATGAAATCTATATCCACATCTATACATATAATAAAATTGTAGCAGGTCGATGTCTGTACCTTATAGATATTAAAGAAAAATTAATATGGTGGGTTTTTATTAAAGGTACAGAAGCCAAATAAACAATTTTTAGAATTTTTGAATCTCTGTCTGTCTGTATATTTGTACGCGCATCAGGTGAAAACTTGGAATTGAATGCAGTTTTCACCGATGTATCGCTAGAGATCTAGCTTCCAATATAGAAGAAAAAATTAGTTGCCACCTGTGTTTAAAATTTCAATTTAGGTCAATTGATACGGTAAAGTGAATACTGTAATATGGCTGTCAAAAGAAAGAAATTTACAAAGGCTTACAGCTGAAAATATTTTTGTGGATGGTTGCCACCTATTTGAAAACTTTAATTCAGTTAAATTTATAATATAAACTAAGTATTGCCATATGTGTATCAAGCGAGAGTATTTGAGAATAATAAAATTGCAACAGGCCGATATCTGTACATAACACTGGTCTACAAATTTCAACTTTTTTTCTGCGAATAAGACGGGACCTGGTGTTTCTGAACGGATTTTTCGTGCTGAACACGAATCCGGGGTCAAAAATGTCCCATCACGTCACGTTTTCGAGAAAAAAGGGGTTGAAACCCCTAAAAACAGCGTTTTTGGCCATTTTCGAAAAATTATAGAGCTGAACCCTGACGTGGTACAAATTTTGCATATATCAGAAATTAAAGGCTAAACCGTGCCCTTTCGAATGAGCCCTATGCCGAATTGATCGCGTGCACCCTTAAAGCAGGGGGTGTATTTGTGTTTAGGGGTGCAGGAAAAATTGATCACAGAGAGAATTTAATCTTAAACGATCATAGAAAATTAATAATGCCAAGGTTTTAACTATATTAAAAGTCGCTG